ATTATCAGTCAGAGTTGCCTAAATAAAGTATTTGTAACTTAATAAATGATTATGGTGATATGGCAATTTCAAATGTTTTAAAGAGAATACATTAGTAAGAAGGAATGTGATCATCAAACAACTTTGCTAACATCATTAGCACTTACAGAAACTAAAAGGGTAACTTCAAAAAAAAAAAGAAAAAGGATTTTTGCCATTTAATACACCCACTTCAAATACTGGATCACAGTTGCAAAGTGATATTGTCCAGGATATTACTTTTAAACAGTATTTTTGGTTACCATGAAAGCACTATCAGATTACCTGAGAAAATGGATCAATCAAAGAAATCTATGTCAATTAAGGATCTGAATAATAGCATAATACTTTCAGATGCCAATTCAAAAAAATAGTTCCATTAGATCATGACAAACATTCATTGAAAGAGAATTTGGTGTTAATAAGAATGTGTATCTAAGAAATTATGGGAGAAAGGAAAAATGGATACCAGGTCAAATTGTTCAATGTACAGGACCTGTGTCTTATAAAGTTAAAAATAACTTGTGCAGATAATAAGTGTGAATCTATAAATCCCACCAAATCTGATCAGTTCACACCAACTCAGTTTGTTCCACAACCAAGTTCTGTTGATATGAGTGAACCAAGTTGTCTGGAGTCAGAAAATGTAAATTCTGGAGTTAATGATTTAAATCCTAGACCTCCTGAGATAGAGAATCCAAATGGTCAGATCATTGAGTCACCAAATCAAAAGCCACTGAGAAGGTCATACAGGACAATCAAGGTCCCAAATAAGTTAGACCTATGATTCTAAAGGTCAAAAGGACTTTGACATTATTGTTTTGTATTTTGATTATGTTGTAGCATATTGTGCATTGTTTGTAAGGATGTAATCTACCATAGTGTTCATGTTACAATATAATTGGTGATTTTAGGATACTATCAATTGTTCTATTGAGAGATGTGTTATTGTGTTCTAAGGGTAAAGGGATGTAATAGATTGAAATAATTGTGAGGTCAAGGGAACTCACTCTTCTGTATTAGTTATATTTATAATATTGTTATCTTGAGTGATGTCCCTTGGGTACTTCCTTCCGGTCCTCTCTGTGTGTTACCATCGTGGTAGTTAGACCCATTAAACGTGTTATATACAACCACAGGCTTCTGTCGTCAATCTATTATAGCCATTATCCTGTAAACATCCCGTATATCATACATTTACACATCTGTGCTCGCTTGCAACAGATGTTTACTGTTGTATATTAAACATAATCAAAACTTTAGAGTTGGTTGAATTTAGCTGTTAAGGGCTCGATTTGTTTGTGAATTGATGTTAGTTCATGAAAAACAATTTCATTCGGGCATTAAAAAGAGTTTATAGTGGTTTTGGAGGTAGGACAAAATGGTTACTTTTATGCCAATAGTGGTCAGGCCATTCATTGGAACAGGAACTTGAACCTTGATTGAATTCGAACAGAAAATTTAAACTAAGACAAACCTTTTACCAGAGCTGGATATTTTCTAGATCTATAAATGTTTTGGAACCTAACTTTAACCGCAATATTTAATTGGAAAAGGAAATATGGTCGGAAACAAAATATTTCATTGACAGATTTCATTTAACCCGAATTGGTATTTTAATCTGATCAAAAATTTTTGCTGGAAAAAGAAATTTAAGCAAAAACGGAATTTAATAGGAAACGAAATTTCAGTGAAAACTAAAATTTATTCGGAACCGGAACTGGATTTGTAAATTTGACCAGATACGGAGATTTGGGGAGAAATAGAGATTTAACATCATTTGCAATTTAATTGAAAACGAAAATTTTTCCTGAATTGGCATTTTTACTGGATACAGAAATTCAGAACTTGAGAAGCTGCGAAATTTAAACGGAAACATAGCTTTATTCGGAACCGACATTTTAATTAATCCGGACATTTAACCGGAAATTTTTTTTTAGATGGATACGATATTTAACGTATAAGGGATTTAGATAAAGGAAACGTAAATTTATCCGGAAATGGACATTTTAACCTGTAACTTCATTTAACCTGAAATAGAACTTTATCGGGAGATGGAAATTTGACTCAAACAGAAATTTAACCTCACATGCGAAATTTTAAATAGAAACGGAACTGTATTTGGGACCAGCATTTTAAACTGATCCGGAAATTTAACCCGAAATTAAAGCTCTAATAACCCTAACATCAAATGTATTCGTAATACTAACGCTTACTATATTTTTTTTCCGGTAGTTTTTTTTAGTATATCTACATACACTTCTAAATTTAGACAAATAAATAATACGGTTCGTTTTTTGTCCCTTCTTTTCAGTGACGTCATTATTTTTATTTATCCTTTTCGGCATCCGATTTTTCATTTTCTTTTTTCGTGTAGCATTGGGAAGTTTAAACTTTACACGTTTCGTTTTCTTTGACTTGATTAGATAATGTTTTTTTTTCCTAGTTATTGTTATTTATTTTTGTTATATTTATTGCTATTTATTTTTGTTATTATTATTGTTACTTGTTTTTGTTATATTTATTCTTATTAATTTTTGTTATATTTATTGTTTTTCCTTTGAAATTGAATTATTCACACACAGGACAAAACTTTTTAAAATGATTTTTTTCGAAGGATCTGGGGTATGTGGGTAATTGGGGTGTGTGGGGTATGTGGGAGTGACCCATATTTTCCTATCCTCACATTTGACTCATATTTTCCTATCCTACATTTGACTCATATTTTCCTATCCTCACATTTGACTCATATTTTCCTATCCTCACATTTGACTCATATTTTCCTATCCTCACATTTGACTCATATTTTCCTATCCTCACATTTGACTCATATTTTCCTATCCTCACATTTGACTCATATTTTCCTATCCTCACATTTGACTCATATTTTCCTATCCTCACATTTGACTCATATTTTCCTATCCTCACATTTGACTCATATTTTCCTATCCTCACATTTGACTCATATTTTCCTATCCTCACATTTGACTCATATTTTCCTATCCTCACATTTGACTCATATTTTCCTATCCTCACATTTGACTCATATTTTCCTATCCTCACATTTGACTCATATTTTCCTATGCTTACATTTGACTCATATTTTCCTATCCTCACATTTGACTCATATTTTCCTATCCTCACATTTGACTCATATTTTCCTATCCTCACATTTGACTCATATTTTCCTATCCTCACATTTGACTCATATTTTCCTATCCTCACATTTGACTCATATTTTCCTATCCTACATTTGACTCATATTTTCCTATCCTCACATTTGACTCATATTTTCCTATCCTCACATTTGACTCATATTTTCCTATCCTACATTTGACTCATATTTTCCTATCCTCACATTTGACTCATATTTTCCTATCCTCACATTTGACTCATATTTTCCTATCCTCACATTTGACTCATATTTTCTTATCCTCACATTTGACTCATATTTTCCTATGCTTACATTTGACTCATATTTTCCTATCCTCACATTTGACTCATATTTTCCTATCCTCACATTTGACTCATATTTTCCTATCCTCACATTTGACTCATATTTTCCTATCCTCACATTTGACTCATATTTTCCTATCCTCACATTTGACTCATATTTTCCTATCCTTTCATTTGACTCATATTTTCCTATCCTATATTTGACTCATATTTTCCTATCCTCTTATTTGACTCATATTTTCCTATCCTCACATTTGACTCATATTTTCCTATCCTACATTTGACTCATATTTTCCTATCCTCACATTTGACTCATATTTTCCTATCCTCACATTTGACTCATATTTTCCTATCCTCACATTTGACTCATATTTTCCTATCCTCACATTTGACTCATATTTTCCTATCCTCACATTTGACTCATATTTTCCTATCCTCACATTTGACTCATATTTTCCTATCCTCACATTTGACTCATATTTTCCTATCCTCACATTTGACTCATATTTTCCTATCCTCACATTTGACTCATATTTTCCTATCCTCACATTTGACTCATATTTTCCTATCCTCACATTTGACTCATATTTTCCTATCCTCACATTTGACTCATATTTTCCTATCCTCACATTTGACTCATATTTTCCTATCCTCACATTTGACTCATATTTTCCTATCCTCACATTTGACTCATATTTTCCTATCCTCACATTTGACTCATATTTTCCTATCCTCACATTTGACTCATATTTTCCTATGCTTACATTTGACTCATATTTTCCTATCCTCACATTTGACTCATATTTTCCTATCCTCACATTTGACTCATATTTTCCTATCCTACATTTGACTCATATTTTCCTATCCTCACATTTGACTCATATTTTCCTATCCTCACATTTGACTCATATTTTCCTATCCTCACATTTGACTCATATTTTCCTATCCTCACATTTGACTCATATTATCCTATCCTCACATTTGACTCATATTTTCCTATCCTCACATTTGACTCATATTTTCCTATCCTACATTTGACTCATATTTTCCTATCCTCACATTTGACTCATATTTTCCTATCCTCACATTTGACTCATATTTTCCTATCCTCACATTTGACTCATATTTTCCTATCCTACATTTGACTCATATTTTCCTATCCTCACATTTGACTCATATTTTCCTATCCTCACATTTGACTCATATTTTCCTATCCTACATTTGACTCATATTTTCCTATCCTCACATTTGACTCATATTTTCCTATCCTCACATTTGACTCATATTTTCCTATCCTCACATTTGACTCATATTTTCCTATCCTCACATTTGACTCATATTTTCCTATCGTCACATTTGACTCATATTTTCCTATCCTCACATTTGACTCATATTTTCCTATCCTCACATTTGACTCATATTTTCCTATCCTCACATTTGACTCATATTTTCCTATCCTACATTTGACTCATATTTTCCTATCCTCACATTTGACTCATATTTTCCTATCCTCACATTTGACTCACCTTTTCCCATCCGTATGAATGCCCGCAAAGCTAACTGTGGCTTCCTCCAGAGACTTCTTCTGTGTGTCACGTGGGATGAGATGTTTGGGGAACAAAATGAGCGGAAAAGATGAGATTAGAGTCCCAAGACCAAACACGAGAAACGACAGCCACCAGGCAGCGATAAATCGTCCGTCTTTCGGGCTCATATCTGTAGCTGTAATACAATCACATACTACATAAATAAATACATAATAAAATGATACATTAACTTATACTACATTGACATACCTTGAAATACTTATCGACATAATCATCAACATAAACAACATCAACACTTACAATTACATCAATATATGCTATATCAACATAATTATATTACATCAACATAATTATAATACACCAACATAATTATACTGCATCAACAATATTATAATACATCAACGAAATCAACATATGCTACATCAGCGTAATTATGCTACATCAGCATAATTAAATTACATTAACATAATTAAACTACATCAAATTTTTCAACATCAACATATTCTCAATTCACATATATATTACAACAAAATATTCTACATCAGTATACGCTACATTCCCATGTACAAAATCCGCATATATTTCTATTACTTTCTAAAATAGGGATTATAGAGGAAGTCTTTAATATTTCTATTACTTTCTAAAATATGGATTAATCGTGGAAAATGGGTATTCAGAACTTTTATTCAACTGGTATTCTAAAATTGGGCTTACTAAAGTTTTTAAAAATAACTGACATTTTAGAAATGGGTTCACTCACGTTTGAAATAAACTGTTATTTTAGAATTGTGTTTGGTAAGGTTTAAAATCAACAGGTATTAGGTATTATAGAATTGGGATTAATTACTTTTAAAATTAACTGTACTTTTAAAATTTGGTTTGCTAGCTTTTTAAATCAGCGTAAATTTTAGAAATGGGTACTCACGTTTTAAATCAACGGGTATTTCCGTGAGTACACCGTTTACTTCTGTACCTATCGGCCCGGCCAAGTTTGAAAACAACTGACGAATACCTGCAACAAATGCAAACAGCTTGAAAACCTAAAATCTTGATTTGAATTTTTCATTTTTTACAAAATTAATCAGTCATTATTATAATTATGATGATAATTATTGAAATGGGCTTAATCTAATAATCTAACGAATGTAAATAATGGACAGACCCATGAATATAGACATTTTCGATTTATCTATGGCATTGTTGTCTAAATAGACGGTGGGTAGGAAGTTGGAGTGGAACGTGTCTGTGACACCTTTCAGAACCTGGACGATCACCACCACGATAAAGGCGGCCCTGTTTACCTGCAAAAGTTGGTACAAGCAAAGTGGATGTGGAGTGATTGTGTGTGTGACTGTGTGGTGTGTATGTATGTAAGCCCTGCTAGGGGGAGGGGGATAACTAAAATCTATCTACCCTTCCCTAGGCTTATCTATATAACTGTCCGGGTCAGTGCAACCCACGGTGGTCAATCTTATCCTTAGTCTAAATAAAAAAAACTACTAAAAATAAAACAAACTTTAACAATATAATAACATTTATTTAACAAAAATATGGAACCAAAACTTACATAAAAAAACTAGAATCTAGATCTAGACAAAACAAAACACTCAAGACATACAAAACAAACAGAACTCAACGAAACAAAACACCCAATTTTGGACCACCGTCTATACACCAGATAAATGTGACACAGAAACACTTCAACACACAGGCCTCAACATTCCAGCAGAATGTCCCTCCCCTTCCACACACCACATTCACGAACAAAAAAAAACCCAATACTACGCACAAGAAAATAGTCCCTAATACAATAATAAGTAACATTCAGGACTTAAAGCAAAGTGGAGCCACACTCCTTAAACAATGTTTGCATAAATAACATCAAAATATAAACAAGACAAAGCAATTATAAACCATTTTAAAATCCTAATCATATCAGCGCCAGAATAGCGGACTTCTTAACTAGAAACCACAACAATCCTCAGAGGAACACAAAAAGACATTCACCTTTTTGTAATAAAATAATTAAATAACTCCCCAGTCCCTTACATGTATTTAGATTATTACACTATAAAGTTGGCCCATGTATTTAAATCATTACACCATAAAGGTAACCCATGTGATTAGATTATTATACTTCAAAGTTAGCTCATGTATTTGGAATATTAATCCTGCAAAGGCTGCTGTATTCCGTTTATTAAAATGATTTACAACCTTCAATTTGATTAACAGTCCTAGTTTACGAAAAAAATAATTGTGGGAAGGGAAACGTGGTTGAAATAGTGTGTTGCCATGGATACTTGGTTGAAAAAAGTGACACACCTCGTCCCTGTTGCTATTTTGGCTGCTGTCGTTACTGCTGTTGTTTGCTTGGGTACACATGTACTGGTCACTTGAACTGGACGTGACGCTTGAGTTGCCATACGTCCTGTCATGTCATTGATACAGACTAATTAATGAGTTGCCATACGTCCTGTCATGTCATTGATACAGACTAATTAATGAGTTGCCATATGTCCTGTCATGTCATTGATACAGACTAGTTAATGAGTTGCCATACGTCCTGTCATGTCATTGATACAGACTAGTTAATGAGTTGCCATATGTCCTGTCATGTCATTGATACAGACTAATTAATGAGTTGCCATACGTCCTGTCATGTCATTGATACAGACTAATTAATGAGTTGCCATACGTCCTGTCATGTTATTGATACAGACTAATTAATGAGTTGCCATACGTCCTGTCATGTCATTGATACAGACTAATTAATGAGTTGTCAAGTAATTCATATTTTCTCACCACCAGATTAATGAATTGTGACATAGTCAATACATTGACTTGGTTAAATTTAGACATGATTAAAGAATGCTAATTGAAAGAGTAGGGAAATCATTAATGAACATTGAGTCAGCCAAGAAACTGTAACCTGGTCTATGCATATTAATTTGTCAATAAATATAAACTTAGCACATTTTAACCAAGTCAAAAGAAAACGGCGACCAATTCAAGCAACAGTGCCCTAGTCTAGTAACGGTGACTTACAATTCAAGCAACAGTGCCCTAGTCTAGTAACGGTGACTTACAATTCCAGCAACAGTGCCCTAGTCTAGTAACGGAGACTTACAATTCCAGCAACAGTGCCCTAGTCTAGTAACGGAGACTTACAATTCCTCCAGCGTCTTGGGATCTGTGAGTTGAAATACAGCAGGGACCATAAGGAAGACACCCTGCGCTATTCCTGCTACACCCACAATCACAGGTATATGTGAGTTCTGGTAAAAACATGGCAACCAGTCAATCCCGTGACAATATCTCGTTTCCAAAAGTGAAGTGTTTCTATCTACCAAAGTAAAGTGTTTCTATCTACCAAAGTAAAGTGTTTCTATCTACCAAAGTGAAGTGTTTCTATCTACCAAAGTAAAGTGTTTCTATCTACTAAAGTAAAATGTTTCTATCTACCAAAGTAAAGTGTTTCTATCTACCAAAGTAAAGTGTTTCTATCTACCAAAGTAAAGTGTTTTTATCTACCAAAGTAAAGTGTTTCTATCTACCAAAGTAAAGTGTTTCTATCTACTAAAGTAAAGTGTTTCTATCTACTAAAGTAAAGTGTTTCTATCTACTAAAGTAAAGTGTTTCTATCTACCAAAGTAAAGTGTTTCTATCTACTAAAGTAAAGTGTTTCTATCTACTAAAGTAAAGTGTTTCTATCTACTAAAGTAAAGTGTTTCTATCTACCAAAGTAAAATGTTTCTATCTACTAAAGTAAAGTGTTTCTATCTACTAAAGTAAAGTGTTTTTATCTACCAAAGTAAAGTGTTTTTATCTACTAAATTAAAGTGTTTCTATCTACTAAAGTAAAGTGTTTTTATCTACCAAAGTAAAGTGTTTTTATCTACTAAAGTAAAGTGTTTCTATCTACTAAAGTAAAGTGTTTTTATCTACCAAAGTAAAGTGCTTCTATCTACCAAAGTGAAGTGTTTCTATCTACCAAAGTAAAATGTTTCTATCTACCAAAGTAAAGTGTTTCTATCTACTAAAGTAAAATGTTTCTATCTACCAAAGTAAAGTGTTTCTATCTATCAAAGTAAAGTGTTTCTATCTACTAAAGTAAAGTGTTTCTATCTACCAAAGTAAAGTGCTTCTATCTACCAAAGTGAAGTGTTTCTATCTACCAAAGTAAAGTGTTTCTATCTACCAAAGTAAAATGTTTCTATCTACCAAAGTAAAGTGTTTCTATCTACCAAAGTAAAGTGTTTCTATCTACCAAAGTAAAATGTTTCTATCTACCAAAGTAAAATTTTTCTATCTACTAAAGTAAAGTGTTTCTATCATTAAAGTAAAGTGTTTCTATCTACTAAAGTAAAGTGTTTCTATCTACCAAAGTAAAGTGTTTCTATCTACTAAAGTAAAGTGTTTCTATCTACTAAAGTAAAGTGTTTCTATCTACCAAAGTAAAGTGTTTCTATCTACCAAAGTAAAGTGTTTCTATCTACTAAAGTAAAGTGTTTCTATCTACCAAAGTAAAATGTTTCTATCTACCAAAGTAAAATGTTTCTATCTACTAAAGTAAAGTGTTTCTATCTACTAAAGTAAAGTGTTTCTATCTACCAAAGTAAAATGTTTCTATCTACTAAAGTAAAGTGTTTCTATCTACTAAAGTAAAGTGTTTTTATCTACCAAAGTAAAGTGTTTTTATCTACTAAAGTAAAGTGTTTCTATCTACTAAAGTAAAGTGTTTTTATCTACCAAAGTAAAGTGTTTTTATCTACTAAAGTAAAGTGTTTCTATCTACTAAAGTAAAGTGTTTTTATCTACCAAAGTAAAGTGCTTCTATCTACCAAAGTGAAGTGTTTCTATCTACCAAAGTAAAATGTTTCTATCTACCAAAGTAAAGTGTTTCTATCTACCAAAGTAAAGTGCTTCTATCTACCAAAGTGAAGTGTTTCTATCTACCAAAGTAAAGTGTTTCTATCTACCAAAGTAAAATGTTTCTATCTACCAAAGTAAAGTGTTTCTATCTACCAAAGTAAAGTGTTTCTATCTACCAAAGTAAAGTGTTTCTATCTACTAAAGTAAAGTGTTTTTATCTACCAAAGTAAAGTGTTTTTATCTACTAAAGTAAAGTGTTTCTATCTACCAAAGTAAAGTGTTTCTATCTACTAAAGTAAAGTGTTTCTATCTACTAAAGTAAAGTGTTTCTATCTACTAAAGTAAAGTGTTTCTATCTACCAAAGTAAAGTGTTTCTATCTACTAAAGTAAAGTGTTTCTATCTACTAAAGTAAAGTGTTTCTATCTACCAAAGTAAAGTGTTTCTATCTACCAAAGTAAAGTGTTTCTATCTACTAAAGTAAAGTGTTTCTATCTACCAAAGTAAAATGTTTCTATCTACTAAAGTAAAATGTTTCTATCTACTAAAGTAAAGTGTTTTTATCTACCAAAGTAAAGTGCTTCTATCTACCAAAGTGAAGTGTTTCTATCTACCAAAGTAAAATGTTTCTATCTACCAAAGTAAAGTGTTTCTATCTACCAAAGTAAAGTGTTTCTATCTACCAAAGTAAAGTGTTTCTATCTACTAAAGTAAAGTGTTTTTATCTACCAAAGTAAAGTGTTTTTATCTACTAAAGTAAAGTGTTTCTATCTACCAAAGTAAAGTGTTTCTATCTACTAAAGTAAAGTGTTTCTATCTACTAAAGTAAAGTGTTTCTATCTACTAAAGTAAAGTGTTTCTATCTACCAAAGTAAAGTGTTTCTATCTACTAAAGTAAAGTGTTTCTACCTACTAAAGTAAAGTGTTTCTATCTACCAAAGTAAAGTGTTTCTATCTACCAAAGTAAAGTGTTTCTATCTACTAAAGTAAAGTGTTTCTATCTACCAAAGTAAAATGTTTCTATCTACCAAAGTAAAATGTTTCTATCTACTAAAGTAAAGTGTTTCTATCTACTAAAGTAAAGTGTTTCTATCTACCAAAGTAAAATGTTTCTATCTACCAAAGTAAAATGTTTCTATCTACTAAAGTAAAGTGTTTCTATCTACTAAAGTAAAGTGTTTTTATCTACCAAAGTAAAGTGTTTTTATCTACTAAAGTAAAGTGTTTCTATCTACTAAAGTAAAGTGTTTTTATCTACCAAAGTAAAGTGTTTTTATCTACTAAAGTAAAGTGCTTCTATCTACCAAAGTAAAGTGTTTTTATCTACTAAAGTAAAGTGTTTCTATCTACTAAAGTAAAGTGTTTTTATCTACCCGTGTGAAGTGACCAGCAAACAAAATGGTAGACATGAGCCCAATTGTTGTAGCCGTTGTGAAGAGACCAGCTTCTGCGTTGTCGATGTTAAACTGTTTCTCTAGTGACTGGAGCTGAAATAAAACTGTTTTTCTAATGACTGGAGGTGAAATAAAACTGTTTTTCTAGTGACTGGAGCTGAAATAAAACTGTTTTTCTAATGACTGGAGCTGAAATGAAACTGTTTTTTTAGTGACTGGAGCTGAAATGAATACACCGACTTAGTCAGTTCAACATATCTCAATATTGTTGACTAATTTAAAATGTAATATGATTTAAAATGATGTATCTGGAAAACATGGCCAAACAGACTTTGCCGACTAAATAAAAGCTGATACATATGGATTTATTGAATAACGCTTTCTGGTTTCCACGTGCCCAACATTATGTGTAGGGGAATTATGTTGTCCAACTTTATGTGTAGGGGAATTATGTTGTCCAACATTATGTGTAGGGGAATTATGTTGTCCAACATTATGTGTAGGGGAATTATGTTGTCCAACTTTATGTGTAGGGGAATTATGTTGTCCAACTTTATGTGTAGGGGAATTATGTTGTCCAACTTTATGTGTAGGGGAATTATGTTGTCCAACTTTATGTGTAGGGGAATTATGTTGTCCAACTTTATGTGTAGGGGAATTATGTTGTCCAACATTATGTGTAGGGGAATTATGTTGTCCAACATTATGTGTAGGGGAATTATGTTGTCCAAAATTACCTGTAAGAAATTATGTTGTCCAACATTACCTGAATGGGAACGATACGGTCGACCATCATAGTAAAGAGGGTCGATAAACCGATGAAGAATGAAAACATGTAGAGATTTGAGAAATAAGTCCCGAAAAATGAAGATCGGAATTTTCCAATTCCACAAGATAAATCAACATCTTGGAGGTCGGTCTCTGGTTTACTAATTTTTTCCTTTCTCTCCTGTAAGGAGAAATGTACTTAAAACATTAGTTAACTGAATTTGTTTTCTTACATCGGAATATCCTTAAAAGAAAAAAAAAGAAAAAAAAGCAATGCGATTTGTTCATCTAATAGAGAAAAAACAAACAACTGACCGTTGTATCACTGCCATCCTCTATGCTATAAACTGTTTTGGTCATCGTATTTACAGTTAGCTTGATAATAACGAGCACATATCACGACAAATTATGGTCAGTGATTGATTTATATTTGTATCAAAATAATTTTTTAAATAAAGTTCTTTGGGCTAAATTATTAATGACTTTAAGCTAAGTGCTAATTTTAATCTACATGAATTATCAATGTAATCAATCATATAAGCTTGTGGGTAGGCTCTAGCTCCCTGAAGTGTCCTTATGATGATATGACCAAGTGGGGCAGCTCTAGTCAAGGGGCTTGGTACCGTCTCAACATTTGCTACTCAAGTAAATATGTGCGCACATCTTCAACAATTTTAATTTGTATCGTTTCTCATCGAAACTTGTAAATAAAACATCTCGATCAAATTAATATTCTATTACGCTTTTTCAGTTATTTAAATAGCGGTGCATTGTTATATATTCAAAGAAAATAATTCATTCTCTCCTTTTTAGTGCATCTATATATATATATATATATATATATATATATATAAAGCAAAGTGGTCGGGTGCCCGACAGGGCACTTCCCGGCGCCACAGGCGCTTCAAATTTGGCAGAATCGTACCTAGGGGCGACAGAACACGGGGTCCGGTGCCAGTTGGCCAACAAATCCACGAAGAGGGGGTCAAAACTGACATCGACTGACCGGCGCCTAATATGAGCTATATATCGAAAAAATTCCCAAGTAGGAACTTCTCTATAACTCATGAGGTCGTAGACCGACCCTCGGGGGTGGCATAAAAAAAAACCAAACTATGATATGCTCCGGAAAACTCCGGAAGACCTTAAGAACTGACCGGTCCGAATTTTCCCATATAAACATTGTTAATTTGGTGAAAAAAAGATGACTATTTTCAAAACAATGTTTCTAACTTTGGCTCTGTACATCTAGCTCATTTTTCCATAAACCTGGGTAAATGAATCGGCCTTATGGTTAATATATCGGTCAGCCTCTGCTGGCTAGGCGAGGGCTAAAAAGTGACCGCGACTGACATTCTCCTTACATTAGCTATATATATATATAAAAATTGCCGAACAATCCCCCTGATATTTCGTGTAACAGCCAAAAATGAAAAAAAAAACGAAAGGTTAAAAAAAAATATATATATAAAAAAGATAAAAAAACATACAAAAAACATTTAAAAAAAAAATTACTAATTCATTTAGCATTCAAACTCTCAAATGTTTTTTTTTTTTTTAAATCTAAGCGAAGCTAGGCAATATGTTAAGTTATTACAAATAAGCTTAAAAGCTTGTTATTAAACCGTTTATGCAATTTCTTTTTACTTTATTTATTTATTTTTATTTACAATAGAGTTGCATAACTATTGAGCACCAAATAAACATAATGCGCGAGTAATAGGACGGAGTAGTAGTAGGAGGGCCTACTAGTTCCAGAAAATTTAATTAATTCATAAAAAATTAATTAGTCATCCTGATAAGCTACAGGCATTCGTAAACAAATGCCTACGACATATACTTAAAATAAGATGGCCAGACAAAATATCAAACAAAGACCTGTGGCGAACTTTAAAGCAACAGCCAATAGAGACAGATGTCAAGGCCCGAAAATGGGGATGGATCGGACACACGTTAAGAAAGGAAAAAGAAAACATCGCAAGGCATGCTTTAGGCTGGAATCCCCAGGGAAAAAGGAGGGTGGGCCGGCCAAGGAAGACATGGAGAAGAACGGTTGAAGAAGAGGCGAAAGCAGCTGGGCACACATGGGCACAGATAAAGGGGGCAGCCCAAAACCGAGTCCGATGGAGATGTGTGGTTGCAGCCCTTTGCTCCCCAGGGGCCACAAAGGAATGATGATGAGTCATCAGATTGATTTATATTTGATGTCAGATTGCATTGTCATCGGGTCTTGACCCGATTCAGAGAAACTGATCGGTTAGAAGTGCTCGAAATTTCACTTGCCTGTTTCAATGTAGAAATACAGACAGAGGAAACTTGTAAAAAATACATAGACATCACTACTAAGAAGTGCGTTTAAAAATAAAGTACAGACTACGATCTAGTAAATAGCTGTAATATTTTGGCTCTATTTAAAAATTCTTTACAATTGAGTTGAAAATCAACTTAGATAAAAGGTAAATCAGGTGGCGTACGCATGGTGGTCATGGTTCATTGGACGGTATAGAAATCTAAACACGCCACCGATCCGCTTCAACTCGCCCGCGAGGTTTAGAACTAAATCAAGGACGTCGGGCACCAAATAGCATTCAAATAGTATTCAAATTGTTTTCAGTTTTTAAGGAATATTTGTATAGATTTATGTCCAGTCCCTTTAGTAGTTTTAAAAATATGAGATTGATCTAAGTACCCATCTGTGTTGGGTGTTCTCCGATTTGAGCCTGGGATCAGAGCTCAGGACTTTTGGGCCAGCAGTCGTGCGCTGTACCACCTATTGTAATTAAAAAAAGAAAAATAGGCCACACACCGTTAGGCCTAATTAGTAAGTTTGTAATTTCTTTGGCGCCTAAGATATATTTATCTTAAGATTATAAGAAATCATCAACTTATGGAACTAAAACTTTAGACGATTGTGGATACGTGTGGCGGCGTATGGGTGGAAGTGGGGGATGGCTATGTGGACATCACAATCAACGAATGATACTCTGTATTGTTTATAGCAAAAACAAAACTGCATAAACAATATAGGCCTGAAAGCAAATACGGCAGTGCCCGTGTTATTTTAACCCAATGGGCAATTATGTCACGGGAGACATATTTAAGCCCCATAATACGGTAATCAACATTTAGGCCGAAATTAGGCTTTAACAAAAATATAGGATATGAATCTGGTGTGGACTCTTTATAATTTAACATTTTAAACACACTTACAGGCCTTTACTTTTAGTAAACGTTAACATTGGGTAGAGAGGCCGGGGATGGCGTTCTTTAAATGGACGCCTGTGTAAATCCAACTGTTTGTGGGCCTCATAAATGAATGACACCTAAGAGGATGGAGATGTGGCTTTATGACGCTAATGTTGTGCTTACTGTTTTTAGATGGGCCTAGTTTAACCTCTGTATGTTATTAATAATTTCCTACATACAGTGGTTTGAAATTCTCTTTTTTTCTTTTTGCGTCTGCATTCAAACAAGTGCAAACAGTCTTTATCGTCTGCTTTATAACGACATTATAATATTCTCATGGAAATTTATGTTTATTCAATGCTAGTCTGCATTTCCAGCTTTCTCATGTTCAATATAAATACTTGAATGACAATCAAATAACTATATGTTATGATTCAGCGGTCGCAAACTTCTACAGGCCTAAAGTTAACAGTAATATATTTAGTACTGCTGACGTAGCGGACGAATCTCGCCTCTCTGTTTTGTTATTGTGTGTGTCGCGTTTGTAGGTGGAGGTGGGGAGGGGGAAAATATAATCTTGCTAAAAATGAGTACATATTGGTTAGATGTTTGCATACAATTTACCGCTCATTGAACATAATTTACAGCCTTTTAGATTAGAAGTTTTGTAAATATCCGTGTCGAATGTTCCTATAAGTTATATTAATCCATTATTATCTTGAATAGAATGTTGATTAGCAGATATATATATATATATATATATATATATATATATATATATATATATATATATATATATATATATATATATATACGGTGGCCGGAAAGAATCGCAACGGAAAAAAGCGCAACGGAAAAAAGCGCAAAACAAAAAGCGCAACGGAAATAAGCGCACACGGAAAAAAGCGCAAAGAGAAAAAAGCGCACACGGAAAAAAGCGCAAAGAGAAAAAAGAGCAAAGAGAAAAAAGCGCAAAAAGAAAAAAGCGCACACAGAAAAAAGCGCAAACAGAAAAAAGCGCACACGGAAAAAAGCGCAAAGAGAAAAAAGCGCACATGGAAAAAAACGCAAAGAGAAAAAAGCGCAAAGAGAAAAAAGCGCAAATAGAAAAAAGCGCACACAGAAAAAAGCGCAAACAGAAAAAAGCGCAAACGGAAAAAAGCGCAAACAGAAAAAAGCGCAAACGGAAAAAAGCGCAAACAGAAAAAAGCGCACACAGAAAAAAGCGCAAACGGAAAAAAGCGCAAACAGAAAAAAGCGCAAACAGAAAAAAGCGCAAACGGAAAAAAGCGCACACAGAAAAAAGCGCAAACAGAAAAAAGCGCAAACGGAAAAAAGCGCAAACAGAAAAAAAGCGCACACAGAAAAAAGCGCAAACGGAAAAAAGCGCAAACACAAAAAATGCGCAACCAGAAAAAACTACGAAAAATGTGCAAAAGAGAAATTTAGCACAAATACCTATATCGACTAGAGGACACATTTATACATGACTGTTAGGGCTGCTGTAAGAGTGTCGTGTTTGATCACGTGATCTACTACCATTTAAAGCGTACCACTACCATGTTCATTCCCCTCACCAGGATACAGGCGATAATCGCTTTACACAATGCCTATTATTTTCTTGGTCAATAATTATTCAACTACTATTCTCGTATAAATAAACATAAAACTATCCTTGAAATCGACATTACACGAAGTATCTCTCACATTCTCCCTAGTCCGAACTACCTAGCTTGCACACTTGTAAAAGTGTATGTTTACATGTTTTCATTACCCTTCAAACAATAGTCTATTTTAGTTATATTGAGATTAAAGAATGTAAATATATAGTACACACAATTCTGTAGAATCGGAACGATTGGGAGGGAAGTGACATATAGCGCAAGAAATTTAGAGGTTAGGTAGGGTATAATAAATGGTGGGGTTAGGAAAGTTAGGGGGTCCATTCTCTAACAGGCAGTCTATGTCTCTTTCGTACTTTCGTGTTGGTTTATTGTCGAACCTGTCCTCACCTCACATCACAACAGTTGGGTGACGCTTACCGTGTAATGTTAAAATAAATAGCATGTAATTGAGTTAGTTCGAAGTGAGTTTTCATACTTGCCCAACGCACTAATTAAGATTGTCGCAAAATAAAACATATATGTAACATATGTCAATGATGTCAATGAATTTTCATTAAAAAAATGCACAGATTACGAAACTAACGAACTTCGCCGATCCTTTTTCGGTGGGTAGGTAG